ATGAAAACATTACGACAATAAGATTAAGACCACGACAACCGGTTCGAATCAGTCACTGTTAACACAGTACAGACATAATTAGCCTACTAGCAGCTAGCAGTGGGAAATCTGTGTGTGCCCTTTTATCTTTCCTGCCTTGATTTATTCCACCAAATCAAGGCAGTGTGTGAAGTCTTTTGTGTCTCTCCTTGGCGGTCTCTTTGCCTTTAGCCATCCTCTGAGTGTGATTGTTACCGTGAAAAGCATGTGGAGCTAATGTTTGCTAATGCTAGCTGTGGAAATAGTGCATGGTTGAAACGTTAATCAACAAAAATACCCAGTTTTACCAAAAGGACCAAATTTTATAGCGATTTTTACCTTCAAAGTACTTTAAATGTATAATTTCATGTATTAAGCATGTATTAGTTATTCTTTAGTGAGACTTAATATTTGAAAGATTAAGTCTTCTTTTATTTTTAAGTTTTAGGGAAACTTTCTATTTGTAGATATGCAGCACTGTACAAATGTCTTGAGCCAAACTCTTTTTTCTTTATACAAAAAAAACAAGAAAATATGCAGTAATTTATAATTAAGACATATTCAAGCATAACATTTTTTCCTCCATTTTTACCGTTTCCTTAAATGTTTTCAGGAAACGGCGGATGATCCTTCCGCAGGTTCACCTACGGAAACCTTGTTACGACTTTTACTTCCTCTAGATAGGAAATGGCAGCTAATATCCAAAATACATTTAAAAAATCCTCCTAATACCTGGAGGATTTCTGTTTTAGAGCTGAGGAGTGGCTCAAGACTTTTACAAAAGACTGTATATTGCAACATGAACATCAAGTTCACTGATCAAAAATCACTGAACAAAAAAACATTATTTATAGAGATGATAAATAATGGCTGCAGCCTCTGTTAGCTTTTTCTCATGACGGATAAATGGTCTTGTCCAGGTGTTAACAATAGAAATAATAACAAATAGTCTAACGTGTTCCTCTGTGAGTTTCTGACTAATAAATGACTAATCATTTGACCAATCGGAGCTGTTCTCAGTGCGGCTTTTAACACGTCCAGGTGTCGAACCTAAAACGTTTCAGGGTCACCTGCTGAACGGTTGGACAAACGGCCGAACCAACGCCCAGAACATCGACCTGAACCGAAACTTCCCGGACCTCACCTCCGTTTTCTACCGGAACCGGCGCAGCCGCCACTACCGCATCGACCACATCCCCATCCCCGACGCATACTGGTTCGGGAAGGTGGGCACACCTGAACGCCTGAATGCTAATTGGAGAGCTGTAGCCTCCCCTGCTAATTGATGGTCTGATGGTTCATATCCTTTCATTTGAACGGTCAATGAAGGCATCAAAATAAAAATACAATTACCTTCCAATGAACAGTCTTTTAGACTTTACAGCTTAGCTAAATGTAGATCGGTACGATGCTAACACTTGATACCGCA